CATTTTCATAATTTATCACATATGTGAAATAAAATAATATATTTTTTAAAACCCTTTATTGGCAAAAAACAAGTGAACTAAAATGTGTTTTTTATAGATATATAATGCGTGGCATTCTAAATTATAATTTTCACAGTTTAACAGACCCCCTTTACCCCCATTTTCAATCAGATTATTTTCAGAATCAATAGGCTTCATCCCCTTGTGGAGCTTGATTTTCCAAAAATTTCAAGTTGATATTATTGTTCATTTTTGAGTTAGATTTATTTTAAATATTTCAACCTTTCTTAAACCCCCCTCCCCTTTTATTCATTTTTTTTCACAATCAATAGGCCTCATCTCCTTATAGAGCTTGATTTCTACTAAAAGTTTCATGTTGATATCGCTTTTCATTTTTGATTTATGATTTTTTTTTTAATTTTAACCCCCCTTAAAACCCCATTTTTAAACAGATTTGTTTTTTCAAAATTAAAGGGATTCTTCTCCTTATAGAGCTTGATGTTTGCTAAAAATTTCAAGTTAAATCATTTTTTGTTTTTGAGTTAAGATTTTTTTATATTTTAACCCTCCCTAACTCGCCTATTTATTTAGATTTTTTCAAAATCAATAGGCTTTATCCCTTCTTATAGAGTTTCATTTTAACTAAACATTTCATGTTGATAACGCTTTTGGTTTTTAATTTAGGACTTTCACTCCTTCTGACTCACTTATAAATAAATCACGAAAACGCGATTAGCCAGAGCGCAGTGGCGTATCCAAAAATAGATACTAACACGTATGAAAACAATAAAATTATAAAAATTGAATTAATATTTTTATGTTATTTATTTCAAAATAATATATTTTAATGAAATGTAACTGAGTGTTCACTACACAAATAAACCAATGGAGAAACCGCCCTTGCATTTGTATTACATCGATTGACATCCACTTAACCATCAGTCATCGATCATCGAGGCATCTTCGGCATGTACATACCCTTACCTTTTAATCCATAACCAGATGTGTCCATCGAAAATTTAAGATAGTTACCCACGACAGTCTTACACAAAAATATCGCCTAATAATGGTGAATACCAAAAGTTCGAGATTCTCAATGCTAAAAAATGTTATTTTTGTAAATAGACTGTGCACAACACATGTATGCTTATATATACGGAAACGTTATTATTTCAAGTAAAATCCATCTGGCAACGTCGCAAATATATGACTACTATCAAGTCGATGTGTATACCTATAGAAATTTCTGACATCCTCATAAAAATTTTAAGGGTTTCTTTTGTTTCAAACAGAATCGTCGATTCCAGTTCTCAAATACAGTGGACGAATTAATTTTTTAAGAACACGTCGCGAGGTTATAACAACCTCTTAGCTGATTGAGTGTAATTCAGTGATTCTGAACTAGTTTCCTAAAGAATAAAAACACGCCTAAAATAATCTAACAGACATTTGAGTTAATGCGGTTAAGTGTAGCGATTACAATGTTGCCAAGTTGTAATCATTGTACCCCACTACACATCGAATGCATAAAAAATCTATATCTTTTTACCAAAACGGTCCAAAAATTTAGTGTTTTCTTACAAAATTTTATAACTTCTTGATTTACATTACATTAGTTTTTGAAAAATAGAACCGTTTTCGAGATATCTTGAAATACATGCATTGCCAGTGTACATGACAGGCTTCAAGAGTGATAATTATGCACTTTTTGATTGTTAATATCTCGTTTCACAGACGGTCAAAAAAATTTTATTAGTTACGTAAACGACACTTTCATTGACCTTATATTTTAATTTTATTGAATTATTAAAAAAAGCCGTTTTACGAGTGAACTACTTTAAACCAAAAATAATATGTTTAGTACATCCATAATATATGTATAGAATATAAGATGAATAATAATAAAATTGTGTATTCATTTTACTATTGCAATATTTTACGTAAGCAGAACTACATAATACCAATACATATGGCAACGCGGCATGAATAGTTCTTTCCGTAGTGTTTTACGTTGGCTTTTGTTGTTCCTGACGTTCTGTACTATTACTCTAATAACATCCAATAAAATACCACAGGAAATCAAAATAGTTAGTGAGACACATTTAGCCAAACTGATGTGCATTAATTTTTATTTTCTTCTATGATGGATTTTAATTTCTTCGGAAATATTTTTTGAAAAAGTTTAGATATTACAGGAAAAAAATTTAAGCTTTTAAACTATAGTTATCCATATTTCTATTCCATGCCTTTCAGGTTTTCGATGTCATTGAACTAATCGCGAATTTCAGTGAGAAGAGCCAAATTGATAATAATTTATTGAAAGTTACCATGTTGTCTCCAAATTTATGGATTAACTTTCCAAGTTCCGTCTCCCATTTAACCAAATTAAATCCATAACCTATCCTAACAGAACCTTGCCTTTGAACTTGTAACAAGCCGATTCACAGACCAACTTATAAATGATTAGTGCGGAAGCTTGAACCTCACTTTTTCATTGAAAATAATGGTTTTCAGAAAGAAAGAAAGAAAGAAAGAAGGTAATTTAATCATAACTCTCACAAAAATACGTATAATACGAGTTTTCTTACACTGATATTTTTAATAATAATAATATTCTGATTGTTATAGTACAATAAAATATAGTTAATAGATGTAATATCCAACGAAAAACAGCAAGGACAGAAAATTATTTTCAACACTCCTGTATTGATTTTGGTTAGCTACAAGGATAACGTTATTCTTGGACCGTTTTCGTCCTTATTAGGACTTGTCAGCACTTCATAGATTATGTTAGTTAATGAAATGATCTCATAGCCTTACACTGCGACTCGGATCTACTGTGGCTCGTGTCTTACTTTTTCACCGTACAAGCTACACCTTTTGATGAAGGCCATGGTTGAGATGGGTGAGACTTGTTTAAAGTCGGAGGGCTCTAGTCGAATGATTCCGAAGATCCTGAACCTAGTTCTTTCCAAATCGGACCAGTTATATAAAAATTTATTTTGCTGATTCGTCTTCTACGCTGTGGAATCGACAGCTCGACGTTTTTTGCAGACCAATCCTTTTCATGTGCTTACCTAGACGTCTTAGAATGGGTAGCCCTGGGATATGTATCCAGTTCATGAGTGTTACACTTTCTGTCCATTTTAAGATAATTATTTTTGGAAGTGTTCTTTGCAAAGCCCAGGAATAAACTTAGATTCGGTTCCATTTTTTCGAGCGTGTCGGCTTTTACATTGCCCTCCACACCGCTGTATTGTTTTTCAATGTGATGTCGGGGAATGTAGCCTTCCTTTCCAGTAAAATGTGGGGAAAGATTACATGCAGCATGGTCTGCATGATGACGACGCACGCAAGCAGCTGGATTCCAGCCAGCTCTGCTCTGGCCGCCCGACCAGGTCCCTTATTTGACTTATTACTTTTACAGTCTATTTGTTAATGACGAGTCCTAATCAAGACTAGTGATGCGATAAGACGAGAAAGACATTTTCTCTCGAAAACATATTCGAGACGAGACGAGAGAATGTCATCTCTCGACGAGAATTTTTCGTTTCTCTCGAGCTCTCTCAGGTAATTTACTTTTTGTTTATTTGAAATTTTCAATTACTTATCGTAACTTAAAATTTAAACATATCAGATTTTCAGATAGTCAAAAAGTTAACTATAACCCACGTATTCTATATATGTATAATGTATATGTATAAATGGTAACAAATAATACGTGTGTAATTAGGATTTTATCAATAGTGATTTACAAGAAAAATTATTTTCCATGTCATTTATTTGAATATAATTTTAAATGGAAAATGCAAGAAATTTTTTGCTTCAAATTAAAATTTCAAACGGAAAAACTTCATCGTGATTTCAATTTAATCTATTCAGTAAATATTCCTCAATAATAAGTGTGTATTATAAATCTTGAATTTTTATCAAATTTTCAAAATGATGCAGAAGGTTTTAACAAGATTTTTTTTGTGAAATGTAAGATAAACTTTTTCTGTATAAAAAAACTATCCAACTGACAGCAATCGTTATAATTATCATTCAGTAAAATTTTTTCTGAGGTTACTTTTAGAAATAAGTTGGAAAGACAATTTTTTAAACCTTTTTAAGAAAAACTGTCAATGAAAAAGTAAAAAAAATTAACATATTATATATTTTTGAAAACATGCTGCAAAATGCTTTCATTTGATAACACACGATGGCATCAGAAAAATTATAAGTTCCAATTTAACCCTTGGAAGCCAAGACAAAGCATTTACGCTTTTAGTTAACGCCTAATTTGGATCACTGATTACATCAAATTTCAATTGTAAATAATGGTCTCTGATTAAAACGACTGTGACGACAGACGGACACCCAGAAAGAAACCGAGTATTTCTTATTGCCAATTTGGGTACTAATAAGTCTTCGTGTTCGTCTGCAAAATTTTAGTTTTTTTATGTTTCGTTCTAAGTATATCGTTTCTAAATTTAAATTTGATATACGTTTTTATCACGAGAGAAACGAGAAAAGACGCGGCCTCACTAATAAATACGAACACATATCTAGAATTATTTTTTGCTCAATCTCAGGGTTAAAAATAATTATTTATCTCTGCTGTTTTTCGTTGGTTATAATCCAATTTCTGTTGCGGTATTAGTCACAGGAGTAGTTGTTTTCTAAAGGGAAACTATTGCTCGTATTATTTTGTGACATACGGCTTTGATACTTTTTAATTTTTTTGTATTTTACGTCTTGGCCATTTTTGCGTTCGTAAATATCTTCCTTTTAAAAAATATAAGCTGGAAAACTAATTTATATTACAAAGAAACTATTTTTGGATTAAAAGGTGTTCCTCAGGATAAAACTAATTTAAAATTTGGTTTTAATATCAATTCAGTTGGTAATTTAGTGGTATCAAACATCAATGATGTATCGATTCAGAAGTTGTTTGAACATAAATAATTAAAAACTAACTATGAAAATGGCAATGTTAAGAAATTGTGTTTATTACAGAAATGGAATCGAAAACAACCATATCCAATGAAAATATAATGAAGTGTATTTTGGAGCTGGTACTTAGTGCTGAAGGTTGTATAAAACACCTATTCCAAAACAGGATTTAGAACAATGACGTATAATTTATTATTTAAATATTTAAGAACTGTTATATGACTAAAGAATATCAATGTAGATTGTAGCAGCCATCAAAGCGCTGAGCTCTTTGCGTAATCAGCTTAAAAGTGGTCTGGAGAAAAACTGAATGAGTTAGGTGAGGAAAATACAGTTACTCTCACTTGTGTCCCGGGATATACTGGTGTAAAGGGTAACGAGATTGCGGAAAGTTTTGTTAGGAAAATGCCTCAAACATCCTTTGTGGAACTAGAGCCGTAACACATAATGAGAATAAAACAGAATTCAGAAGTAGAAGAAGCGGCAATTAGAACGATCTCTTGGAGCTAAGACACTTCTGTATCCTCACTGGGTATTGCCGACTCAAAGGACTCCTTAGTAAACTGAGATCAGTAGACTAGTAATAGACTAGTAGGCGTTCTGGCCGAATTTTGTTCAGAATCCAAGGGCACTATACTTGGGAGCATACGAAATGGAGGAGAGGGCGCTCTACTCAACCTGGAGCCACTCCAACTCCTACATTTTCTTGAGAAGATACGATTGGAAGGGTCGTTATAGCATCGAGACTACTCCCTTGGTGCATTAGTGACAGAAGGGACACACTATATATTTTAGGACGCAGTATATTATTAGCCCATACATACCTACATACACATATCTGCCCTCTTGGATTTGATCCATCGCAATGCCCTTTAAGCTATTTTAAATAAACAAAAAGAAAGCATATCTATAACTCTTACGAAAACGAAAAAGAAAGATCTTGATAAAAATAAATATTCAATCGACTTTAAGAAACCACTAATAGTATCTATATATTAATTTAGCTTGTTATATTAATATGCTCGGATCCTGCATACAACTAGTGCACAGACACTAACTCCCAAAGGGGCCAAGGCGCTTGAACAAGAAAAAATGGAAAAGTAGTCAGAACAAAAAGATAAAAAAGAATGCATTATAGAAACCGCAATTGCATCATATTAGAAGTCCTACCTCAATATTATATCATTGGTATCCATTTTAAATAAGTCAATATTTTATTATTTATTTTTTATGGGGACATATTCCAATGCGTGTATTTAAAGTAAGCAATGGCGGATCGTGGGGTGGTTCACAGAGACAGAATGTAGGTATCAGTACAGATGTATGAAAAAACTTTCAGTGTTTTAGAAAGTTTATAATATACTGTTCTAAAACATGGACAGTTTTATATCTATATCTGTACCGGGATCTATATTCTGCTACTGTGAACCCCCAAAATTTTGGTCACAAGACGCCCCTGAAAGTAAGGTCTCCATTTTTTTTTTTTTTTTCATAATAAATTACATCATTCGAAAGCTTAAAATGTAGGCTATGTTTCTATGTAATCGCCATTTTTTTTTCGATTACCTTTCTCATCCGAACGACGAACTTTTTTATCCCCTCCTCAAACCAATATTTCGCCACCTCGCGCAGGAAAGAGAGGATTGCTTTATACACCTCTTTGTCGCTCGCAAATTTCATTCTTCACAGATGGTTTTTTTTTAGGATATGAAACATATAGAAGCCACAGAGGAACACGTCATCTCCGGTGACTTTGAAACTTAATTTTTCTTCAAAACTGGTGAGAAATGATTGGGCACATTGGACGGCGCTTCACTTTGTGTTCCGCGCTGTTCCGCGCTGAGCATTTTTGAGACCCATGTGGTTGACAATTTTTGGTATTGCAGATTATTCGCTAAAATTAAGTTTTGCATACTTTTTTGGTCAGCTCATCAAGGGCCAATCTGAGATCTTCCAGCACAAGCGCGTCAACTTTCTGTACTCTTTCGTCCGCGTGTCACTTCGCCTGCCACTTTGCTCCTCATCGTGGATGTTTAGGAGGGCAAATTATTTACACTATTTTCGAACGTTTTTCACATTCATTCTTCCAATTGGCGATGAATTTCCAAAGAAAAAATTTTTTTGCGTGTAAAAATTTAATGACAGAACGTAACTCGCTCCTGGCGGGAACAACTAGTACCTCCATCTTAAACGTTGAAACTGATGATATTCTAGATTCTACGGAGTTCTGCCGGGGTGCCGGGTACTACTTTGTTGTATTTTGTCTAGCGTTGCGGCTTTGGAGACCTTACTTTAAATACACGCCTCGAATATAGCTTGTAGAATTTTGTTATGTAAAAATTAGGATACATCTAAAAGTTTCTTTCTAAATTAAACATATACCTCTTAAACAACAAATCCAGTTATTTACCGTGTTTTTTCTAAATGTGTAGATGGATTGGGATTATATACTGATTTTTAGTTAAAAATAATACTTAAATCGAATTTTAAAACCTATTTTTAATCTTTTCTTGAGGAGTTCCACTTAGTTGGTAAAACATACATCGGTGTTATAAATAAAAAGTTCTATGAGTCGTAAAACGTGATTTTATTATTTTTTTTACACCAAAGATTCCATTTTATTTTAGTACTCTAATAAAAATAATAATTTAGTTTTTATATTAATGTGACATCTGCTACTACTGTTTTAACGTTGACGTTGATGTTGGTCATGATTTTGATGGCATGCCCCTTTTCTATATTTAGTGAACGTTGTTTGGTTGTAAAATTTCTTGATATTTGAACGGTGAAAGTATATTCAATCATGAATTTGAAATGAAATGAAATTCCTTCTAATTTGTGTGGCTTATTATTCTCAGCTTTAAATTATTTTTTTTTTTCAGAATTCTCAAAATAGAAGATTCTGGCATCTTTAAAAATAAATTAACATTTCTACACTGAGAGAAATGTTTGTTTATTATTAGGAAAGTTTATTATTATTGAACATATTAATAAGTATGGTTATGGCCGAACTTACGTAAGTTTACTATAAATATGGTATCTTGAACGTATTTACTCGTAATAAATTAAAAAGCAATTATTAGATTGTAATATATCAAACGATACATTTTATTATTTGTGAATGTTAAAATTTGTTTATTAACAGTTAAGAAATATTTATTTTATAGAGGATGTAAAAAAAGGGAAGTTATAAATGAAACCACATTTTTTGGGATCAAAAATAACTCGATTGAACATGACTTACCTCATAGCAAATATGCACACAAAAAAGTTACAGCACTTGGAAAGTACAAAAAAATCGATTTTTTCCAATATTTCGGGAACTTTTTGTAATGAAAATGGATACATACAACGGTTTTAATCGAGCGTTAAGACTATAGTATAGGTTTTGTTCGTCCATAAAGTATTCCTTTACCTATATTTGCTTAACATAAAACTTATCCGACTAGTCAAAAGTTGTCATGCATCCAGCTTTCACCTTGTATTACTGTATATATTCACACAACACACATTTATATTATCCCGTTCTCAGCAGTTTGAAATTATACGAATTTTATACTTAATATAATATTTTTACAAGAATTAAAATATGTTCAACACAAATATGCTTAGGTAAATTCGTTTTATGATACCTTTACCTGATATTCTTTGTGCAAATTGTAATATTTATGCTAAAACTTACCTTTAATATCCATCTTTGTTGTGGTAATTATTCACAACTTTTACACTAGACAACAACAATCCTTGTTGTGGTTCTTTTCACAAGCACTAGACACCAACCATGAATTTTACACACAACACATTTCGTTAACTGAGACATGATTTAATTGTCGTAGATATTTTTAATAATTCCCAAAGCACTAAACCTCAATTTATACTTGTTGAATCAGTTTTAGATTATATTCGTTGGACACCGAATCTTAAATAAGTGGGGTTATATTTATAATTGTGAGTGACTGATAGACAGCTGTCATATCATAGAAAAGTACTACAGAGAGTGGTAAAGCCGTTCATAGTTCTTTGAGTATATTTTGACGTTTCGTTGTTTAGGATTTCTATTGGTTAATACAGGGATACCAGCATGATATAGTTAGTTTTATTTTAGAAATCGTAAAAGCTTATTGGCGGCGCAGGAGTGCCATTCATGAATCGTATTTGTTCGAGAGTGACAATTGGCTGAAATAGGTTTTATGTACGGCGATTCTCCGCGATCGAGGTTTATTCTTCGTGTTGGAGAAGTGACACGTGTCCTTTTCAGAGAAGAAGTCGTAATGGTGGTTTAAATTAAAAATTCGTCAAGAGATGCTTTTCTAGTTTTTGTGATTTTATGGAATCATCCCATGTCGGGGAGTGTTAGAAAAGTATCTTATTATTATAAGAAGCACTAATAGTAAAATTGGATCTGGTTAACGTGGATTTAAGCCCGTTATTTTGGTGATTGAGTGCCGGCTTTTTAACTCGTGTTTAAGGAGAATTGAATTTGAAGTTCAGCTCATTTGTAGAGATGTATTAGCAGTCTCATATTGAAGACCGATCGTAGTTCAGACTGTATATTGAAGGCTGCGTTTTGATTGAAGGTACATCCTCTGGGATACGAGGGTGTTTGGACCCGGTTTTGGGACCAGTGTTTGTACCCGGTTTTTGGGACTATTGTTTGGAAACGATTTTTGAGCCCAGTGTTTGGACCCTGCATATGTATCCGGTGTTTGGGACCAGCATTTAGGTTTGATATTGAAGTACTTAAGATACTGTCAGGTACCAGAGTTTCGACTGAGAATTGCTGTTACTACAGAGATAAGGCATCATACGAATACTGTGTCACATGCGGTATCTTTTGCCTGTCGACTTCAGGGACTAGAAGATAAGTGAAACAAGATTTTATTTTTAATACTTTGGGGTTTTTGGGGTACATTTAGCCTACGACTGATACGTAGATGTACATATATATATATATTTGATATATTGATATATTGATATATTGATATATTGATATATTGATATATTAATATATTGATATACTGACTCATGTGCTATTAAGGGTCCATGACGTTTATTAAATTTTAGTATAAATACATTAAGGGAATTGGGTATTTTACCTTTACGATGATGCTTATTAAAAATTGTTCAATTATGATAAT